GGCATAGCTGGAGTGCCTTGGCAAGGAGGCCTAGCAGCATGAAGCTCTCAGGTCTGAGCTTTGCCAGACACAGCCTCTCTAATTATCCCACCCTCCCACCCAGCCGTGACAAGGGAAGGACTACCAACTGCCCCATCTTCAGTAGGCTGTTCCATACACACAACCTCCCTCCTCCCTCCTCCCTCCTCTCTCCTCTCTCCTCCCTCCCTCCCTCCTCTCTCCTCCCTCCTCTCCTCCTTCCTCCTCCCTCCTCCCTCCTCTCTCCTCCCTCCTCCCTCCTCCCCCTCCCTCCCCCTCCTCCCTCCTCCCTCCTCCCTCCTCCCTCCTCCCCTCCTCCCTCCCCCTCCTCCCTCCTCCCTCCTCCCTCCTCCCCTCCTCCTCCTCCCTCCTCCTCCTCCCTCCTCCCTCCTCCCTCCTCCCTCCTCCCTCCTCCCTCCTCCCTCCTCCCTCCTCCCTCCTCCCTCCTCCCTCCTCCCTCCTCCCTCCTCCCTCCTCCCTCCTCCCTCCTTCCCTCCTCCCTCCTCCCTCCTCCCTCCTCCCTCCTCCCTCCTCCTCCTCCTCCCTCCTCCCTCCTCCCTCCTCCTCCTCCCTCCTCCCTCCTCCTCCTCCTCCCTCCTCCCTCCTCCCTCCTCCCTCCTCCCTCCTCTCTCCTCCCTCCTCCCTCCTCCCTCCTCCCTCCTCCTCCCTCCCTCCCTCCTCCCTCCTCCCTCCTCCCTCCTCCCTCCTCCCTCCTCCCTCCTCCCTCCTCCCTCCTCCCTCCTCCTCCCTCCTCCCTCCTCCCTCCTCCCTCCTCCTCCTCCTCCCTCCTCCCTCCTCCCTCCTCCCTCCTCCCTCCTCCCTCCTCCCTCCTCCCTGCCTCCCCAGTCCCACCACTCCGCAACTTTTCTTGTCCTCTTCCCGCCTCTCCTCCTCTCCTTCCGTTCCTGCGTCTTTTGATTGGCTCAATTCCACACTCATTAGCATGTGCCAATATCCGTCTGAATATTCGGGGGACCATTTTCCACTCGCTGCCATTCCAATTATTATAATTGACAACATGCTTTATGACTTTCAACTTTCTGGACGAGCTTCAGCTTTTAGTCAAGGTCCTCAGTCACATGTGGGGATGTTCCAAGAGCATCTGGTCCACGTCAGCCCAGAAGAGAGAGAGAGACAGATGGAGACAGAGTGACATAAAGTCAGAGAGATAGAGGGAGACAGAGACGGGGAGACAGAGACAGAAGAGAGACAGAGAAACAGGGAGATAGAAGAGAGAAAAAAGAGAGACAGAGATACAGGGAGCCAGAGAGATGGGGAGACAGAGGGAGACAGAGAGACAGGGAGACAGAGAGATGGGGAGACAGAGAGAGAAAGAGATACAGGGAGACAGAGAGATGGGGAGACAGAGGGAGACAGAGAGACAGGGGGACAGAGAGATGGGGAGACAGAGAGACAGGGAGACAGGGAGACAGGGAGCCAGAGAGAAAAGGGGAAAGAGAGAGCGAGACAGACAGACAGACAGGGAAATGGGGAGAAAGAGAGACTGGGAGACAGGGAAACATGGAGACAGAGAGACAGGGAGACAGAGATACAAAATGACAGGGAGATATAGAGACGGTGAGACAGAAAGACAGAGAGACAGGGAGACACAAAATGAGAGAGGCGGAGAGGCGGAGAGACAGGGAGAGAGAGAGAGAGAGAGAGAGAGAGAGAGAGAGAGAGAGAGAGAGAGAGAGAGAGAGAGAGAGAGAGAGAGACAGAGAGACAGAGAGACAGAGAGACAGAGTGATGGGGAGACAGAGAGACAGGGAGATATAGAGACAAGGAGACAGAGAGACAGATAGTCAGAGATATGGGGAGACAGAGAGACAGGGAGACAGAGACACAGAGAGGCAGATAGACAGAAAGACATAGAGACAGAGAGACAGAGAGATAGGGAGACAGGGAGACAGAGAGACAGGGAGACAGAGAGACAGAGAGACAGACAGAAAGAGACAGATAGACAGAGAGACAGGTTGGAAGAGAGACAAGGAGACAGGGATACAGAGAGACAGAGAGGCAGAGAGAGAGAGAGAGACAGAGAGAGAGAGAGAGAGAGACAAGGAGCCAGAGAGACAGGGAGACAGAGTGACAGGGAGACAGAGTGATGGGGAGACAGAGACAGGGAGACAGAGTGATGGGGAGACAGAGACAGGGAGACAGAAAGAAAGGGAGACAGGGAGACAGAGAGATGCGGAGAAAGAGAGACAGGGAGAAAGAGAGATGGGGAGACAGAGAGACAGGGAGATATAGAGACAAGGAGGCAGAGAGACAGGGAGACAGAGATATGGGGAGACAGAGAGACAGGGAGACAGAGAGACAGGGAGACAGAGAGAGACAGACAGAGAGACAGAGATACAGAGAGGCAGAGAGACAGAAAGACAGAGAGGCAGAGAGACAGAGAGACAGGGAGACAGGGAGGCAGACAGACAGAGAGACAGAGAGACAGGGAGACAGAGAGACAGAGAGACAGGGAGACAGATAGAAATAGAGAAAGAGACAGAGAGACAGGGAGCCAGAGAGACAAGGAGGCAGAGAGACAGAGAGACAAAGAGACAGCGAGACAGAGAGACAGGGAGAAAGAGAGACAGGGAGACAGAGAGACAGGGAGACAGAGAGACAGGGAGACAGATAGATGGGTAGACATAGACAGGGAGACAGTAAGATGGGGAGCCAGAGAGACAGGGAGTCAGATATGGGAGACATAGAGATGCAGAGACAGAGAGACAGGGAGGCAGAGAGACATGGAGACAGAGAGACAGGGAGACAGAGAGACAGAGAGACAGGGAGACAGGGAGACAGGGAGAAAGAGAGATGGAGAGACAGAGAGACAGGTAGACAGAGAGAAAGAGATAAAGGGAGACTTAGAGACAGGGAGTTAGAGAGACAGGGAGGCAGATTGATGGGGAGACAGAGAGACAGGGAGACAGAGAGATGGGTAGACATAGACAGGGAGACAGTGGGATGGGGAGCCAGAGAGACAAGGAGACATATACGGGGAGACATAGAGATGCGGAGATAGAGAGGCAGGGAGGCAGGGAGACAGAGAGACAGAAAGACAGGGAGACAGTGAGACGGAGAAACAGAGAGACGGGGAGACAGAGTCAGGGAGACAGGGAGACAGAGTGACAGAGAGACATAAAGGAAGAGAGATGGGGAGACAGAGAGAGGGGAAGACAGAGAGACAGATGGACATAATGAGACAGAGAGTGACAGAAGGGGCCCAATCTGGAAGGACCTAAAATGTGTTTAGCCAAATTAACGTTTATTTTATTAATTAAACGTACACATACACTAAGCCTTCACAATCAACAAATCACTACAATAGAGGCTGGTGTGTGTGTGTGTTTGTGTGTGTGTTCGTGTGTGTGTGTGTTTGTGCGTGGCTTCCTCAGACTTGGTCTGACTGGTTGCATGTGAGAATTTGTTATTACTGTACTGTCTGCCGTCTTAACTAAAAACACAATTTCCTGAGATGACAAGGAGTAGGATGAGATCTATGGGATGAGATCTATGGGATGAGAATTATGGGATGAGATCTATAGGATATCATATTATATGTACATGGGGCGACCCTGCCCCAGGCAAAAGGGTTTAAAA